CACGCCTTAAAAAATCCAAAGACCTCTTACTTTTTTTCAGTACGCCCCTATGTGATTTACAGCTGATGTGATTTACAGATCCGTGAACATCAAAGATCGTATAGACAGACTTTGTCGCCATCTGGAGGCGGATTGGTGAGGTATAAGCAGCAAAGACCTTAGGTGCGCAATATACTGGACTCACTCATTCATGGACCATGCAACCAACTGAAAATCGCACCTTATAAATCAATAAACGATACAGATAGGTGGTGCTTTTCATATTTAGACATATAATACATAATAATAATTGACAACGGTAATAAATAATAATAATGGATAATAATAGTGCAGTATGTGATATATATGTGAAATTTTTCATGATCGTGATCATGTGAAATCATTCTGTTTTCGTTTTCTAATATTTTTGTTCTCAAAGCTTTCAGCTCTTGATATATATTTTTATGTTTTTTTGTCTTATTTTGTCTGTTTGTTGGTTTGTTGTTTTGGTTATTTTGTTATGTTTTGTTGGTTGTTTCGGTTTGTTTTTGTTTTTTTTATTTTGTGATATAGCATACATTGTAACTGTTTAGACACATGGTGTTTCTATTAAATGCAATTGTGTCGCATGAGAAAACCATGTGTTCACCATGAATTAACCTTTAATGAAGGTTGCAATAGACGTTTAAAATTTAACAACGCATAAGAGTATTACTTGTTACATATGTTATGTACGAAGTGTAAATGTACGCTTATATGTGTACGCTTGTACAAATGTACGTAAAATACATACGAATGTATGTGTCAAATACATTTATTATCAAATCCATACCAACAGAAAACTTTTTACACGTAAATTACGTCGTATTTCACATAGCATGCCTTCAAGGAGATGGTCGTAAAAGCATTATGCACGAAGAGGGATCAAACATTAGCCATGCATGCAAAATAATCACACGCAATTATAGTAAAACAATTCTAGACAGATTGAGGCCAAATTAAACGAGGAATATTACAGTTTATTGCCACTTCCATCGCTCGCTCGACGCGTAATTTCGACAGGAGGGTCATCGTCGCGCCGATCACTAGTCGTCCTCCTCTTCCTCCTCCTCAGCATCCTCATCCTCATCCTCGTCCTCTTCTCCTCCGTCGATCGACGCGCTCTCCGCCGACGGGAAGTGTTCGGGTGCGACGACGCAGTAGCGTGACGACTCCGACTCCTCGCCCTCCATCACCTGCTGGCGGCCGAACAACGCCTTGCCGCGGTGGTGGAAGGAGTAGAACGACGGTCGGTTGCCGACCGACTCCCACGACTTCGTGTCAAGGTCGGCGCCGACCTTGATGTCCTTGAACTCGCCGGAGATGTGCGAGATGGAGTGCATGAGCATGATGAGGCTGACGATGCCCTGCACGAGGACGTCCGCCGGCAGTGCGGTGAACTCCTGCTCGGTGAGGCGCATGTAGGTGCGGTGCTGCGCGGCCGAGTAAGCGACGTGCGCGAGCGACACCAGTCCCACGGTGCACACCAGCTTGTGTATCGCCGATGCCATGGCCACGCGACCTGCAAGACAATGTTTGTTGAAGAGCGACACCAGCGAGGGAATATAACAACGGAAAGGTATAACGAACAATAAAGACGGATCTTGGTCACGATTCGAACATCGCATCAGCATATTAGAGGCGCAACGCGGGGAAAAAAATACACGGGGGCGGCGGGCGATTTCGCCCCCGAAATGCCAAAAAGAGCCCCGAAAATACGATATCGGGGGCGACCCCAAAGCAAAAGTCGCCTGGAAATGATTGTCCAGATCGGTCCCGTTGGCTCTTCTGCCGATCTCGCTCGGCCTCGTGCCGCTGAGCTTGGCGACGCCGGTTCCACGGCCGCGTAGATCCTAGTACCCCAGTGTGGTGTCAATGGTTTATCAGATTAAGCATGCCTGTGTGTATTGGCGGTTCAATCAAGCGCGCGCCGCCGCCGCCGGCTGATATATACGTGTGTGCCTGTGCGCGGTGCTCTTGCGTGTGTGCCTGCGCGCGTGCGTGGCGTGCGTGCCGGGCGGCCCTGTGTGTGCCGGTGTGCCTGGGGTGCTTGCGTGTTGCCTGCGCGGCCGTGCGTGCCTGTCATGCGTGTGTGCGGCGTTGCCTGCGGCGCGTTGCCTACGGTAGACCGCGTAGGACCAACGGAACCGTAGGGATTATGGAAAAGCGGTAATCCATGCGAAAAATCCTAATTGAAATTCACACGATATTTTTCCCGCTTGCCGGCCACAGCGTCGTGTGTCATGTCCTGATTGCTAGCTTTTTTTGTCATTCCCGAACAGGCGTTGTGGCTGATGCCGCATCTCTCATAGTCAGCAAATGCAACCCTCTTGAAATTTTAGTAGTGATATGTACCGACGCTGAAACAATCGTGCCGCCCGGGCGCCATCACTTCAATCAATGGCCGCCCCTGCCAGCAAGCACGTACGGCCAGCGTCCGATGTGCACAGCATTCACGACGTGCCTCCGCGGGCCCGCTTATCTCAAGGACCCCCTGAGCTTCCAGGGCCCTTACGCGGGCCTGTGGACCAGCCGCAAGATGACTGTCGCGTATAAACAATGGCGATCCTCCTAGCTCGTAAGGCGGACATTCGCCTATTTGGGCTAGCGGTCATAGTTCTGTGTGTTATTGCTGAACCTGTGAATGTATTCACTATTCAAGTGCAGTTTGTGTTGTGACTTGGTGGTTGTGATTATTCATGGTTAGTCTGTCAGTTCTGATGATAACTGTCTTGAATATTGACTGTTTGGTGTCTGTGTGTGTTGTGTGTGTGTGCTGTGTGTGTGTGGTGATGTCGTGTGGTGCTGCGTGCGTGCGCTGCGTGCGTGTGTGTGTACGTGTGGGTGTGTGTGGTGTGTGCGCGCGCCCCCATCGAGTGTGGTATTAGCTCGTGCTTGTGTGTACATTTGAGGAAAACAGCCTGGAAAAAAGTCGCCCTGGAAAGTGGAAAAAGAGCCCTGGAAAATGAAAAGTAGCCCCCGAAATTTTGGGGGGTTTGCAAAAGAGCCCCGGAAAAGAAAAAAATTAATTTTTTCACGTGGCGCAACGCTCAAATGATTCGAGGAGCAACATATCAAACGATGCGAAATGACCTGGCCGTGCTTCAATCAACCGACGAGGAACGACAATGGATCGATCGTTGTCCGGGAGATGGAGTACAAGATTTTAGACATATTTTGTAGATAAGATATACACGTTACATGAATTGGTTCATGGATATATGCGCTGACCACAATTCATTTTCGCAATGTGCGACATGTGCAAATGTGCAAATGTGGACAGCTCTTAGTCTCGACTCTTTATTACTTTTAATCTTAATCTTATATCCTTGGGCCATAACCGTAAAATATAGTTATCCATTGTATAAATAAAATATAAAGACTTTGGTTTCATTTCACTCCAGATGGTGTTTCTCAAGCTCCTGCATCGCCATCCTGCCTTTACATTACAGTAGCTGAGTAGGAGCGAAAAATGCCCGGGGGGGGGGGGCATTCCCATTGTTAAAGGTACTGGGGATGTGCCGCAGACAGGGTATATCTTTCCAAATATCATTATTGGACAGGGTATCATTTTCCGAACATAATTTATTGGCACAGGTTATCTAGATACCCACCCATCAAGCTGATATTGGCCTAATATTGCCAAATCAATATTGGGCCAATATATTGGACCAATTTCTGCCTATATTGACAGGAGGACAGGACATACCTGAAGTGTGCAGGGACCTCAAGGTATACTTTTTAGTGCAGTATATTGGGACAGGGTGTATTTTAGGGCGCAAAGCAGTTTGCGACAGGGTGGTTTTCAAGGTCCCTGAGGAAACCCCCTACACAGTTCCGAGGCGAGTGCCCCCACCCACCCCCGGGGGGTAAATGATCTTGATACAAACAGGAGTTAATAATGACAAAGGGGTAAGACACCTCTTTGGTACTGATTTCACTACATTTTTGTCGTACGAGTTCGATGTGAATAAAAATACAAATGTATACAACATGAGCTTCTTTTGTTCACTGGTCCTTATTCTATCTTCCGGTAGTATTACAAACCACGTAGCTTCCTTCGTTTTGACATAAATCATACTTTTGCACGACATACTTTTCACTTAATTTACCGTCGTGTGGCGAAGCCAAGCGGTAAATTCGCATACACAGCTAGGCTACCACAGCAACTCGAAAGAGGCACGGCAGGGAATTTAGGCAGTATAGTCTAGCCGAGTGCAGAAAATGCGCTTAGAAATTAAGTTTCGTTGTGCCCATGCTGGGTTTAAAAATTAAACCTATTTTACATTTAAACTATAGTTAGAATGCCTTGTTTTTATGGTTGAATCCAGCAATTTATTAAAAAATAAACGCTGCGCTGGTAAAATATCTGAACTACTTCACCCACGGAGGAATGATGTGTAAGAATCGTTATGAGTAAACTGACGCTCCAGCCGATTGTAGCTTTTCGCACGTGTTTTGCATAGCAACCGTTAGCTCTAGGCCCGCGTACAGTTGCCGCTGGCACTGCGTGAGGCGATCCCTGCCGTGCCTACTTCGAGTTGCTGTGGTAGCCTGTGTATGCGAATTTACCGCTTGGCCTCGCCACACGGCGGTAAATTACGTGAAAACCATCTCGTGCAAAAGTATGATTTATGTCAAAACGAAGGAAGCTACGCGGTTTGTAATACTATTACTTATTAGTATTAATAGTAATACTACCGGAAGATAGAACAAGGACCAGTGAACAAAAGAAGCTCATGTTTGTATACATTTGTATTTTTATTCACATCGAAATCGTACGACAAAAATGTAGTGAAATCAGTACCAAAGAGATGTCTTACCCCTTTGTCATTATTAACTCCTGATACAAATAAACTACACGTGACGTGCTGAATTACAATTGTTGACTCTAGAATTTTACTTTTTAGTCACATAAACGTAGACAATAAACAACTGATTGACAAACTTCTAGGATTGGTTTTTAAGTGGCTCGATAATGCCCATAATAGGTTGTATTTTGATTAGCTATAGTTGCCCTTATTGTTTACCTTAATATAAGACCGAAAAGAATAAGAACGGAGATCTAAGAAGAATAAACTGACTCACTGACTACGCTGATTGTGTATCTCCAAGCCAAAGTAGTCTATCAATTCAAGCTAATTGGATAATGGTTAACGCGCTAGTGGCGCCATGTTTGATTCAACAGCTGCCGTGTTAGCATTGTGTTAGCGTATGCGCACTTACGGAAAACATGTTAATATCAATGTTTATAAGCTGCTTAATATTTTTATTTATGAAATATTAATGATAAACACACACACACACACACACACACACACACACACACACACACACACACACACACACACACACACAGCACACCACACGACACACAAGACACACAACACACGCGCGCAGGCGCCCCGCCCTCCCGCGCGACGCGCGCGCGTGCCAACAACGACTACACGCACCACATGCGCACAACTCACTTACAACACAAAATCCATGGTGATTCCAAAAAGTCCGGCTGAGGGGGACAGTTTGATCTTGTATGTCACCCCTCTGAAATTGTGCGGGGGGGGGACATGTCCCCCTGTCCCCCCTGGATTTGCTGCCCACCGCTGCAGGGAGATACAAGTTGTCATTAGGGAAATCCTGTGGCTGAGATACCCCCCTAACCAACTTTAAAGCATATTTAAATCACAAAAAATAACTCCTCTGCTGAATATTGCGCCATGCGCTGAACACACTAACCGTAGCCCAGATTTGTGTACTGGCCTGGTACACCCGCAGCTGGACGCGATAACATTGGCAAATATCTTTCTCCTATTTGTTAAAAATGATGTCTACTGATTAGAATGTCATCATATAAACTAAGGATGCTAGGATAAATAACTCCTCATTCATTTTAAATGGCAATAATCTTTGAGTAATAATACGATTGCATGCTCCGGAGATATTGCGCATTGCCCGCGCACCGCGTGTTAGCGTGCAGTGCTCTGAGGCAATCTATCATAATATAAGCTTGAGCTGGGGGAGAGAAAGCGGTTGGCGAGACCGAGGGAAGGCGGCAGTGGAAGACAGCCGAGGGCGTGAGAAAAAGAGGAGGTTGGGCGAGGGAAGGGCAGGCAAGGGGCGCAGACGCCGACAGGGCATAAAGTAGGTGTTTGGTAGCCGCCACAAACTAGGGCGCTCTCCTAAACTATAACACATGTCAACGGATGGGTCTTATTAAGCGAAATCTGTGCTGAGATACCCCGCCTATACCATTACTTAAATGCAATATTCATCACAAAATATAACTCCTCTAGTGAGATATTGCGAGCATTCGGGCGCTATACAACTAACTGGGTCGCCAGATTTGTGGTATCGGCTGGTATAACCAGGCTGGGACGTACATGCAATATCTTCCTCCTATTTCTTAAATGAATGCCTACTGATAGAATGTTACATATAAAGTCTATGCTTAGGATAAGCTCCTCTTTGTTTTTAAATGCAAATAATAATTGCAAAATACGATTGCTCTCGGGAGATATTGCGCATGCGCGCCGCACGCGTGTAGCGTGCAGGTGCCGTCTGAAAGCAATCTCCATAATATAACTTGCCTGGGAGAGAAGGGTGGGAGACCGATGGAAGATGGCANATATTAATTTGCTGGGGGAGAGAAGGGTGGGAGACCGAGGGAAGGTGGCAGGGAAGACAGCCGAGGGGCGGTGAGAGAAGAAGGAGGTTGAGCGAGGGACAGGGCAGGCAAGGGGCAGGACGCGAGGGCATAAAGTAGGTGTTTTGTACCCCACAAGCTAGGGCGCTCTCCTAACTATAAACACATGTCAACGGATAAAAGTTTATTAGGGAAATCTGTGCTGAGATACCCCCTAACCATTTTAAATGCATATTCATCACAAAAATATAACTCCTCTGGTGAGATATTGACGCATGCGCTAAACACACTAACGTAGCCAGATTGTGTACTGG